TCAGATAAATAGCGAAATTTAATAAAATCCTTTATAAAAGGTATATAATTTAAAAACCCAATCGGGCTATATCACTAAACGTTTTCGGAATTCATGTTCCATCATCAGTGTTCTAAAAAGGATATAACCACTTTAGTTAAAAAGAACGCGAAATTTAAATTTTGACCAAGGTTAATACAAAATGTGGTTAATACTTACTAGGTGTACATGTATTGAGCCATTAAATATCTGGGCAAAAACTGGTTAAAAGTTATGTTTAAATTTAGTTTATATAATTTGATCTTATATATTAAGATGTTAAAGTTACCAGTGGATTTGGTAATATGGCAACGTACGACTCCACGTGAAGTTGCTGGTCCTGAGACAAAGTGTCTACGATGACTTGATCATAGGAACTGATTGAAATCTTGACATGTTAGGATGGAAGTCCGAACAAAGCAGTCAGTGTAACTTAATGTGTTAGTCTACTTAAGACAGAGCCAGCGCTATTTAAAAATTGAATAAGTTAAAATTAAAATTAAAATAAACTAACAGTGGCAACCATCAATATTGTAGTTTTAAATTGTAAATTTGTCCTGAAATTATGTTAAGAACATGTGTAGAAATTATTTTATTGATTAATGTATGTGGAATGAATTGTGGTGAAAAATTAGGCAACCAACTAAAGTCTAAAAGTGGTGTAAATAAAGATTCTAATAATAGGCCCTTTTTGTTTTTCAACAATTTGGTACATGGAAAATGGAAATTAGACATATGTGGGAAGTTGGATTCTTGAAACTTTATTGTTGAAGGGTGAAATAGAAATTAATATATTTTATATTTGAAAGTGCTATTAAGTAAATAAAATAAAATGCTTTTGTAATGTAATGTTCATGTAGTATTTAACTTATAACTTAAGCTAGAAGGCCCTGTATGTTAAAAAACAACATTTGATACCTGGTAAATATTAGTTCATGAACATGAATAACTTATTAGGTGTTAACGGGTGAAGTTGGCTAGTTGTTTTTGTGTGTTAACAACTATATGAGACGAACAAAAATTGATAGTTCTTATGATCTTCCAATCAATATTATGGGTAATTTCTAGTTGCCAAACTATAACCATATCATTTTTTTCTTTAGACTGTTCAACGTACCGACCAATATCTCAATTATTTGCACTGCATGTAACACACTGATGTCAAGCTGTCGAATACCACGATAAAATTTGAATTTATGGAGCCGTCTAATGCTAGCTTTAAATTTTAGATCGTGATAAAGTTTTTCTTCATGTCAACAATATAATGTATGATATAATATTATGAAAGTTATTATGTTAAGAAATAGCTGAATTATGTAATCCTATAAAAATAGTCGTTTTATATCCGTAGAATCTCCAGTTTTCATCGTGTAACTACCTTATCAACAGCGACGTATAAAAAGACGTACAATAGTACAAAATACTAAAAAGAAACAATACATTCAGTATTTTTTATTAAAAGAAACAAATATTGCACATAATTTGAAATCTAACAGTATTTTATACACAGTATATACGAAATCGCTATTTTTCTCAGGTTATCCTCTCTATTCATTGATTGTTCTCAGAAGTAAGTGCTAAAGACGTCAAAGCACTACGTCTTCCAGGAGTGACTCCCAAATTTTCCCAATTAATCCAAGACAAACGTGCAGTTAAATCTAAAAAAGTTATAAATTGGTAAATAAAAAAGGTCAAACATCAGTTTCCTGCATTTTTATAGAATTACCAGTTTCGATTATATGTTGTTTCCTTATTATTTAATAAATTTTATTTATTTAATAATAAAGAAAAATTAAAGAAAAAACAATAAATCAAAGAGAAACTTTTAAATTCAACTGTTTTTAGAAGCTCTCTAACAATCTGATCATAACGGACTATCTCATGTAAGGTCTATTATGAATAACAAAATAAAATTTTGAAATTATTAATTGATCATGTTTTTATTAGCATTTTTTTTTTAAATTAGCTAAATTAAGACTCCAAATTTTTAAACTAAGCACCAATATATTGGGTTTTGTTAACATTTTTCGTCATGAATATCTAAAAATTGTCTGAATATACCAATAGTTAGAATAACAAATTTCTAGTTAAACACTAATTTCGTTAATGATGATCGATTACAGGAATAACTGCAGAAATCAAGCTAAAGTGGCAAACTTATTTAATCGAGAGGTATCTTCGGTTGCCTAATATTTAGCCAGGTACTCTGTCTAAAATTCATACACAAGTTGGCAGGTATCTAGGCTTTGATTTTGTTACAGGGTTTTGCTTTTGCAGTTCCGTTTTTTGTGGATAACTTTCGATTCACTTTTGACAGTTTCTTAATTCGCTATATCTTGACATTTATTTTATTTTTGATTTCGTATTGACCTTTCCATTGTCTTCGAAGTTTAGAAGAAAGTCCTATGTTCAATCACAAATTAATCCCTTAATTTGTAATCTCACATTATTCTTAACTTCTTAACCTTTTAAAGTTTCACTGTGTATAATTGAAACATTGTGATACGTAAATAGAGACTCAGGACGAAAAAAGAATATTACGCACGCTAGACGAACGAGCATACAATATCTTTAATGGACTAAGAAACCACCCCAGCAGAATGTTAAGAGAGCTGACTAACTACAATGAAAACATCCGGACGGTACACAGAAGACCTAAACAACAGATAGCTAGATATAGGGAGAACCCAAACGAATAAGTAATGATTGAGATGGTCGCATAATAGTCAAACAATAGGATTAGGAATTATACTAGAATAGGATACTAGGATTAGGAAAAAAGGGTAAGAATTAATGTCCAGGCATATTATAGTTCCGAAACAACAAGGAAGACCCACAAAAACACCCAAAAATTGTTTTCTGTCTAAATCAACTAAGTTTCCACACTACTTTGAAATTTTCATTCTTACGATTAATATAACATAAACTCAATATCATAAACCAAATATAGAAGGCCCGTCAGGCGGCGTATATGCGAATTTGGCCCCTAAGGCAGATCAAGTGAATCTGATCAATCGCGAAATCCGAGCACTGAGGTCATGTCCGACATACATGGGCTTGGTGGGCAGACCCTTCTCGGGTGCTCAACCGGTGAGGAGAACAAAATTTATTTTGCCAAATCGGCGGCTGAGTGACCGGGCACACACACTTTTTTCCGGACACAGAGTCGTCAGCTCAGGCTAGCGGATATGTGGTCGGAACACACGCTTTTTTAGGGACTCTAGTCCCGAAGTCAAGTTAAAGTAACTTCAATAGAATCAGTAAAGTAAATAGGGAGAAAAGCCTACATGTGGCTACCACAGTCAATAAAAACAGAAGGTGTCCCATTACCCAGGGTAAGTAACTTTCAGATCATAAGCCTCCTCACGTAAGTCACACGATGAGGAGGGGTGGAGGAAAAGCTTGGGGGTCAGATAGGTACCACTTCAACTAGTGAAGTGTGACCGGTTTGATCTTCGGACATGTGGATCCCACTCTTACAATGGTATACACATGTTCCTTAGGGGCAAGGTTGATCACTGCGCGCGCGCGTGGGTGTGTACTAACTTATACTGATGAGACAAGAGCCGAAACATCACAAACAGGAAAAGGAAAATAAGAACAATAGAGATAAAAATTGTACGAACAATAAAGTGGGCCACATTAAATGGTAGGGTACGTAACGAGGACACTTGCGTGAAAGGGAATTGGGAGTGTAGGATGTTGTCAGATAGTAAGGGAAATACGCCGTTATTGTAAAGACCACGTAGAACGAATGGGTGGAGATTGAATTAAAAAGTGGATCAACACGAAAGCCAGAATCAAGACTTCCAATTATTAGGCCCCCAAAAGGTTAATATGATAGCTGGACATCAATGTCACAAGAATCACTTGGTCCTATTACAAGAAGAACACATATCAGTACATGAATTAATTAAATTCCATGGAAACATTAATCCTTTATTCGACCCTAATTGATGATCACTGACAGGTATCCCATTCCATTATATAGTATACAATCATTGTAACATAGTTAATAACATATTATGCTGAACAGTAACAGCAACTACATGCTAGTATATTTTGATTTTCTTTTGCACAAACCATTTTTACATCATCTCTGGTATTTGTATCGTTTTAGCCATTGATAGTTTCAACTATACTTCCCAATAAGTTGTAAATACTATACTATGTCACAGATATCTCCATTTTAAGGGTTTCCCTATAGAAGATCATATTTCAGTACCGGGCAATTACACTGACTCTCATAAGCTTTACTTTACTCTGGACTATATGCACTTATATTTTGCCAGATCGATCTTTAATCCTTACCCTTACAATACAAGACATGTTTTTTGGGAATCTTATAGCTTACACCTTAATCACTGATAATTTGTAGAGGTGTTTCGTTACACCTAGTAGTCGTTTCTCTAACTTTAAATAATAGCTAAATTCGCGCTATATGATATGAAAGGGCATCGTTATTAAAATGAATTTTTCTTGTCATATATTCGACGTAATAATTATATTCCTGCAATCTTTCTAGTCATCTTGTCACTTTTGCCTTTTGCCATACAAGCCATCTTGGAGTTGCATGATCAGTTCGGTCAAAACAAATTTTGTCTTGGGTAGTTTGATATCGTTGCACTGAGAAGAACTTTTTACCGGTTTCTATTATTTCTGGTCATTCTATGGTTTTCCTTACACCCGCATCTGCTAATGGTAGATGATCTATCCTTATTATGGAAACGATCATGAATGCACAAATTATGAACTTTAAAAGAGGATAGTATATTAAGAGTTACTACATGGCCTTAACATCACTTCTTGTAGGTCAAATATGCATCTTTTATGCAACCAGCTTTAGTTTTACGATTGTTGTTTTAGCTTTTACAAGTGTGCCGAAGGTGGCCTATCTCTCCAACATCATTGCTCACGATTTATCGGTATCATATTAACGATTATTTTCAAACCATCCCTTTCAGACGTTCGCAGTTTTGTTCGAGTTCTTTTTCAATGGTTCGAACAAGATGGCACCATAAAATACACAATTTTATCAATAGCAAGTGCTTTATATAATATTTTTAGTATTGTTAATAGTAAAGCGTTTTGTCTCCTCAAGCCATTAAAGGACTTATCTGGCAATATTTCTTCCTAAATATTGTCAGAAGTTTCTAGATTAACAAACCTTACTCTACGAGCAACATTAACTTTAAATTCCTGCAAGTGATTACCACGCTGGATTCTACTTCGCAGTTGTGCTTGGTATCCTTGTCGGTAATGGCATCACGAGGATGCTTTACAGTCGAATGAATAAAATCTGATAACGTTTTTTTTTGGTCATCAGGAATCTATCATCAAATATCTACATCATGGCATGGTAAATCGGTAGTAAATAAAGCAGCATTTTTTCTTTTGTTCAGTTGTCCGTAGCAATATCTAATCGTCTGAGATATATAGACCAAGAAAACTTCCTATTAAACGGTGATAATTTGAATCTCATATGATGTGTACCTAAGGAATTCTAAGTGAGTTCTTAGTATATATACCCCTGAAACATTTTCAATTTTCTCGTCAGTGTTTCTAGAAATATTATTGATTTCGCTAGACGTTTCTTTAATTGTGTCAGAGGTTTTATTGATTTTTCTCATGATAGGTCTGTTACTGGAACTCGAATCGTCCTGGATCTTCTTCATTTTGACGAGTGTCTCACTTAATCGTTCTAGTGGGACTTGGAGATACTGGCATCACCATCCCACCACTCTAGTTGCTTACGTGTCTGCTTTACAGTAAAATGTTTTAACATCACTTAGAACAACTCTACACACTAAACGAGTGTTCATAAACGTTTTACAGTCCCGAATGTGCTTCAAAAATCTAATGTATTTACTATTAAAATATCATAATGATTTATGTTTGGTTTTTAAACAAAATAATCCCACTTCTGACACCGCTGTGTACTTAAATTAAACGTACAGCCTGTTTTATAAACACTAATTGGTTTCAATTTTTAGCTTTCAGTTTTACAGTTAAAATTCCGAAACTGTATTTACAAGTTAACAGCCTAACGATTATATCGATACAATTTCCAAATATTTATGTTTTTCAAGATTTACTGATTGAAAACATTTTAAACTCTGACGTCATCTAGCTTGTTACAGTAATTTGAGAATAGTATGAGAATATTGTCACGATATAGGTATCATAAATTAAAACGCGACTTCTCTACAAGGACACAATAACTGATAACGGCATAATAACTGATTTTGGGATAAGATCGAGTATTAATAAAAACTACAAAAAAAACATGAAACAGTAGCAGATGAATAAAAGAGATGGTGCTAATAATTTCACAAATTGTTATGTAACTACACCGAAAGGAGGATTAAGCGAGAAATGAGAAATTAATCTTTTTCTTCGTATATCCTTGCTTATAGCTTTAACAGCTGTCGAATATATCATTTCTATTTTCTAATTGACTTCCTCTATAGTTTATAGTTTCACACAAAACGGTTCATTTCTTCTAAACTTTTATTTATTTTTTGCTTTCAATTCATTCATTGCCCTTTATTCAGCTTTTTCTTGTATTGCTTTTCTTTTTTTGGCCTATTTTTTGAGCGTCTAACTCATTATTTTTGTTTGTCCACAATTGTCTTTTCTTTAATCTTTTCTCCGCCAAGCACATATTCCCATATTTTTCATGTCTTCATCGGTGTTATCAAGTAACTTTGTTCTGGGTCTTCCTCTTCTTCTCTGACCAATGGGTCTATCAAAGAGCCCTATTCACTTCAGACGTTCTACCTTAATATGTTTCAAGTTGTATCGTAATCTTTCTTAGGAATTTTATTTCTGTTGCCATTAAGTTTTTCTGCAGTACATGTTTTTTGCCTAAAATAGTTTTATTTATTACATAGTATAAATTGTTCGCTTTTTTTATTGTGAGCTATGTGAAATTTTCCCTTTTTATATAATCATAAGTTGTTACTTTTTCAGTTGCTTGTCCATTACTTTTTATTAGACTATCATCAAAGTATCAGTTACTTTTTGTTACGTTTTATCATTTTTTTTACTTTTTTTCCTTTTTGTTTTACAGAAGAATCAAAAAGGGAGAATCACGAGGGAACATATAACACCACTAAAATGAATTAAATTAAAAATTGAATACACAAAAAGGGAAAAAGAGCAATAAAATTTTAAAAGAATAACGAATCAATATCAAAGAAGACCTGGGGCAAGGAGTAAGTTCAAGTATTTATATTGTATTATGAAAAAAATATTTCTTACCACTAGTGTTCCAGTTAGCCCTGTCTGCTTTAATTTCACCCCTTAGACACCTTTCCACATAAGTCAAAGGATCACAGTCCGCCGTTAGAACTTCCCGTAATAAAGCGATGTAGGCAATCGCCAGTCGGAGAGTGTCGATTTTGCTCAGTCGTTTCTCATAAGGAAATGTTGGTACATGCATACGCAGCTCGTCGAACGCAGAGTTTATACTGCTGCAAACGAAACTTAAATAAAAACATCTTCCTAACAGTAATAAATAATTTACATCTTTATTGTATTAATTTAAAAATGGATTCTCTCTTTCTAATTGTAAAATCTAAGTGTCAACAAGTTTTTCTATTTCTTGTACATCCAAATATACAGCTATAATTAGAGCAGATTCGAGCAGAGCAAAAAAAATCGTACTGCTCTCTCAAATGTAGTAGTATTACTATATATATATATATATATATATATATATATATATATATATATATTATAATATATGTAATACTCAAATGTTGATTCTGTTGATAGGGTAGCATTGGTTTCCACATGATTCTTTTCGGCATTTGTGGCCATCTAGTATTGTCTATTTTTGCTGTATGTCCGACTCATCATCATGAATGGTACTACAGCCCTATGAAAGAGTCTCGACCTTCCCAAGTCTATTACGCCAGGCAGTCCTATCCATTGCCAACTGTTGCCAGTTTGCTGCGCCTATCTTTCTACCATCTACCATCTACCTGGCCTACCTCTTTTTCTACTTTCCACGGGTTGTGACATAAGGATTCTTCTAGGAGGGTTGTTCTGCTGTGATCTTGCTATATGTCCTGCCCATCTTAGTCTTCCTATTCTTATAAGAGATACTACGTCTTTACCACCAAATATTTGTTTATATCTGTGGTATACCTCGTAGTTGTATCTCCTCCTCCAAACACCATTTTCACAGATGCCACCAAATATTCCTCTCAGGATCCTTCGTTCAAATATAAGCAGAAGATCTTCGTCTTCCTTGGAGATGGTCCATGTCTCCGATCCATATGTCAACACTGGCTGTATAAAGGTTTTGTATATGGTTATTTTTGTTTTTTGGCTTAAGTTTCTACTTCTCATATGTCTACTCAGTCCAAAATAGCATCTGTTTGCCATTATTATCCTTCGCTTGATTTCTTCCGTTATGGCGTTCTCTTTGGTGATGAGGGAGCCTAAGTATGTGAATTTGTCCACCACTTCAAAGGTAGAGTTATCAACTGTGAATTGGGGACCGATGTTCCTGACTCTATTGTTGGGTGTTGATGCCATCATTTTAGTTTTCTCCTCATTTACTTGCAGGCCCATAGATTTTGGGGCATTTGAGAAGGTGGTATACATTTCTTCTAGCTTGCGTGTTGTGCGGGCAACTAGGTCCACATCATCTGCATATGCCAAAATTTGAGATGATTTATTAAAAATATTTCCTCTGTTGTCTATTCGGGCATCTCTGATCGCCTTTTCCAGTGCTATGTTGAAAAGGAGACACGCCAGCGCGTCTCCCTGTCGCAGCCCAACATGCGTTCCAAACGTCTGTGATTGTTCGCCCTGTACTTCGACTTTGCAAACCACATTACGCATTGTAGCCTTAACCAATCTTATCAGTTTATCGGGGATGTGGAATTCATTCATGGCTTCATACAATTTATTTCTTAGGACACTATCATAGGCAGATTTGAAGTCTACAAAAAGATGGTCTGTATCGATATTGAATTCATTGGTTTTTCCAGTATTTGCCTTAGTACAAAGATCTGATCTGTTGTTGATCGACCAGACCTAAAACCACTTTGATATTTGACCACTTTAACAAAAACACTTTTGATATTCTTCGAGAAGTTCCTCTGAATATGCACTTAGACGACCATATAAGATCCTCGAAAATATTTTGTATGCTGTATTAAGGAGGGTTATTCCCCTATAGTTTCTACTATAATCCGACTCATCCTCATTTATTTTTGTACTAATAAATGGACTAATGTCTTTTATTTTGTTAATTTCTGCTTCTTCTCTTGTAGTTTTATATTTAAAATGGCCCTATCCACATTTAGTTGTGCAATCTGGTCTGGTGGATTGTTTTTGCTTTAAAAGCCCACATTTGTGGCGTACCTGTTTTCTTTGAGAATATTAATACTAACCTTATGTATTGTAATTCCTCTGTTTCTAATTTTTGTTATAAAGTTTAGTCTTTCGAATACAGTCCAAGTATTTTTGATTGTTCTAATTAAACCCGCAGTCCTCGTGTTCTTTTACTGAGATTCTTTTATCTAAGTAATTAAATTTATTACCAATTCTATGTTTGTAGGTATCTTCGAGCTTAATGATATAGTGTTGGTGAAGGCCTCTGTTATTAGGAGAAATTAATATCTTGTTTTAATTCCGGTCCTGGTAGTTGGTTAGTGAACAATGTACAAAGATGCCCTTATTATAATTTTTATATAAAAACAGACTAATAATAAAATAAAAGTTCCGTGTAACAATGAGTGCTTTGGTGGTAAACATTGTAAGCTACTGCATGCATTTTATGAATTACAATTTATACAAATAAGTAAACCATAAACGGCAGACATACCTGAAATAAAATCAAGAAAACTCGCTTATGCTGCTGACCTGGCCATTGGCTTCCGAAATAAAAGTAGAGAAGCAGAAGAACAAGCCCTAAACGAAGATCTAACTATACTAAGTACCTACTTTAAGAGCTAGCGCTTACACCCCAACGCAAGCAAAACTGAAACCTGTGACTTTCACCTGCCGAGTCGACTTGCGGGAGATAGGTACTCTCAATGTAACTCTTGACATTGCTATCAAACATAAGAACAACCCCGAATATCTAGCCGACACACTTGGTCGAACATTAACATTCAAAGTCATCTTACAAATGCAGCCGATTAACTGAGACCAAGAAACACTATACACAAATCAAAATAATCTAAGCCTATATTAATAGCGTTAAATCAATCTTTTCTGTTGTTTTGTCATATCAATGTACCAACTTAGACGTTAATGCTGATAAGAATGGTTATAAAAAAGTTAACAAAACTTCAATATGCGTTTTTTGTCTATAAGATAAAAAGTAATATTTCTTTATTGGTACTTGATTTTCGATGTCTATGTGGATTTTTATTTAGTTTGTAATTGCAAATAATGGAGACACATTATTTAAATCGCAAAATGCAGTGGCGTGCTATCGATATGGTTCAAGCTGGCAGAAGTTAAAGAGACGTTGCCAAGGTCCTTCACATAAACAGTAGTGTCATTAATCGTTTGTCGTTAAGGTTTCAAGAAACTGGTGATGTTGCTGAACGTTATACAAACCGTACAAGGATAACTAACCAGACCGAAAAATGTTTTATTAGGTTGCAGGCTTTGCAAGATGGTACTGTAACTGTATCACAATTACAAATGACGCTGCAAAAGACCCATCCGGTGTTTGTAAGTAGCCAAACCATTAAAAATAGACTGCATGAAGTAGGATTAAATCCTCGAAGATCTGTGAGAGTGCCTATGTTATCCGAGGAAATTACGCTTATCGACTTCAGTGGCCACGAGAACACGCATATTGAGTTAGACGTGAGTGAGTCATCTGATCATGAGTTTGCCTTGCATATGTAGGACAATAATCAATAACAAAGGAGATCATACACTATACTAACTTAACCTAAAGACTACTTTGTTGGGAGTTGAGGGGCAATAAATTAGTTTTTTATTTATTTTTTTTATCATTTTTTGACTAATGGAGTTCTCTTTTAATTTTCTTATATGGATATGTATAGTATGGATAAATATAGTATGGATAAATAGTGCACATACCAACAAGATCGATGTTTAACTTAATCAAACCATGATAATAATCACTGGAACAATAAAATCAAACCCAGTGAGATGGTTCCCTATTTTAAGAAATATCGCTTCAAAAGGATTGATACCTTTTAGAAGGACAGACTATAACTCTTGCAGATTTTGGACTAATGCTGTTTTTTATAATTACAAAACGAAACGTTTCCGCTTATATATGGCATCTAGCTTTGTTTGCTATCTCCTCTTATCTGACAGAGACCTTCAAGAAACATAGCGTGAAAGGTTTCAAACCTTTCTATTGTTTTATCACTGCTTATTGAGTTTTACAGCCGTTACTCCTTATAGATATATGATATACACACAACCAAACTTATATGGATTTACCATGTATTTCAAACCAATAATTTTTTGTTTTGAAAAGACTTAATATTGTTGCAAATAATGAAGGTTTCTATTAAAAATAAACAGACCACTAAAACAATCAGATAACACAGATCAGTACGGTATATATTATTTGATTTAGTTGTAAATTGAACGAAAATTAATAACCTAACTTTTGCTTTCAAAAACGAAAATATGCCTTATGTGGATCTAACTGATGTGCAAAAGCGAAAGATAATTGGTCTTGTGGAACAAGCAATATCTCAGAGGGACATAGCTGCAGTGGTAGGCGTAACACAGGCCGTTGTGTTAAAAACTTTTGCTAAGTATCAGGTGTTTGGTACGCCTAATAATAAACCAAAATAAATTCGCCAAAAAGTATTAACAGCATGTCACAATCTTTTTTATCCAAGTAGCTAGAGGAGGTTCAACAGTTTCTCACCCGCAATTTCAAAAGCAGTTTTAGGAAGGTACAAGTGTAAGTGTTTCAGTTGAAACGATAAGAAGAAGACTTCGTGCCTAAGACTATACAGCAGTAGACAGTTACGGGTTTCTGAGTAACCAGACAGCACAAGATTGATCGCTTAAATTGGTGTCTTCAATACCAAAACTGAAACATTGGAAATAGGCAAAATTTGCTATTTTCATACGAAACCAGGATTTTTATAAAATCATATAACCGATGAATTCGTGTAAGAAGAGGACAAGGAAGACAAGCCATAACGGAAACAGTCAGATCCGTTCACAGAGATCAAGGAGAAAGTGTTAAATTCTGGAAATGTAATATTGTCGGTGAAAAAACTCCTTTAATTCTTTATCTCTTTCTATCTTTAATTAATAAATAGGGTTAGTAACACTGACTACTAAAAAAACATAAATAAATAAAAACAATTTAATCATCATTCCTTGTATATTGAAATTTTGTATACTATTGACTTTAAAACAAATAATTTCAATTTTATTATTTAAAAATTTATGGGTTTCTTTAAATTTGATGTATTGGTGATTAAATTGCTTTAAAATA